CATTTCCACGCGTATATTGCGTATATTTGAGTGCACGATTTGCTCGCTCATCGCATGCCTTCCGCCCTCTCATTACGACTTGCCACATCAAGGCCGCGCCACGCATCAAAATACAAATTCCCTCCATAGCGTCTCCACATAAATCCAATTGCGCATTCACTCGATGCACACGCATAGCCACACATGGTGCACAACGCAAGTGTTAAATCACCTCTTTAGTAAAGAAAATGTGCACGAACAAAATATATTCCAATTACCTAAGCCGTTGTGTCCAAGTGCGGTCAGAGAGAAGCAATTAAGGTAAAATAAGTGCCTCACACTTATGTGTCCTGGCCACCAAAGTCTTGCCCACAAATTGAACCCAGATGGCTTCAGATCATAGCACAAGGCGTTCGAATGGCACTCGCACAAACAAAAGACGGTGGTCCCTCGGTTTACGATGCCATCGATTAAACGATATTTCAATTAGCGATGATTTTCGTGGAAACAATTGATATCGTTAACCGAGGGACCACTGTACACTCTCGTACAAACCACGGTACCACAGGATGCAGTGTCTCATGCAAATTGGATTTAAAAAAAAACTGTCTGGGCTCCCACCTGGTGAAATAAAGGAGACGGATCGATACGCTCGCTCGCTCTCTCTTACGCCGCCGCACTCACGGGGACACTTAAAAACGACGGCGTTCCCGTCGGGGCGGGATTGAGCGTGCGTGAGCTACGGCATGCGCCAGAGGTGAGAGTTGTACTCTCCGTGCATTCGTGCGGCCGCCCAGAGCCATATCCAGTGACTAAGAGATCAAGTATCTTGGCTGGCGTTGTTCGGCCGCGCTCGGGCTTACAAAGCAGAGCCCCCCCCCTCCCCCCACGGTGCCGACGCCTTGTCGGTAAACCGTGTGTGCGTCGACGCCCAAAGAGTTCATGTAATCGCCGTAAAAACTTTGAAGCGCAACAGCCACTTTGCAACGGGAAAACTCGGACGTGTTCGCCGATGACACGGCCGCGGCCTTAAAAGGAAAAAGAAACTCAAGAAATAAAAAATATAGTGGGTGACGTTTCGGGCAACGAGCCTTCTTATTACAACGGGACATGGTTTGAAAATTTGGGGTGGCGTCCTCCAGACTTGCTGTTGAGTATGTAAAACTGGCAAATGGATGTCATTATGTTGTCCAGCATAATAATTTACAGGGCTTTGTCCAGCCACTTTTAGATGAGGTCCTCACCATGCTCTGGCAATCGCGGTGGTTGTGTGCCTCACAAGTGACGCTATCACATCTAGGGAGGAGGACGCCCCTGCCATGCATAGTCCCATGGGATGTTGGCTATCAACAACAAGGCAACTCCTATGACTAATTGGGAATGGGACGCAAGCGTAGGATTGATCACCCAGTCGCTGGCCGCCTTTGGGGAGGGTGTATAGTATGAAAGGCCGAAACACCCTAGGAACCAAAGGGTCACTACTGACGATGCGCTCCCCAAATTTCACCAGGCTCACTGTTCATGAACTCTTGGAAGTGCTTGCACAAAGGATAGTAACATCTCATCCTGTGTTCTTTGGAATCTATTTAAGACCGAAACAGAAGGATTTCTCCACATTTCTGGCTGTCACCTGATGAGGCTGGTTGTAATTACCGGCGAAATGTCACAGTACTCGAATTGTAAACGCCGTGGGTTTTGTTTACGTGACAAACCTTATTAATTGGCTGTGTCGGGTGGTGGCGGGTTTAATGACACATGTATATTGATGCCATCTAACCCAAATAAACCTCTGTTATGGATAATTGGGGGGTTGGCGAAGTGGGGGGGGGGAGGCCAGGATCGGTTCTGATATTACTAACCACCGATGTGAGCCGTGGTGCGAATTGAACCTAGGTCACTGGCCGAACCACCGCACCCCATCCCTTTACGCGAGCCTTTTCGGAAATGCGATGTTTAGAAGACATCAATGTTAACTGCATATTTGTGATTGTTGTTGCTTTTATTTCCAATAGTTAATCCAATTGTGTTCTTCTCAATGCAGATGCAATTGAATTATGCTTTAGTTTTCTGCTTTTACAGACTGCTAAAGTTGTGGCCAATTCTGGGAGAGCGGTCTGCTCACGAGCGAGATTTAGTAATACATTAAAAACCGGGTAACAATAATAATGACAATTACACTGTCTTCAACGATTTAAAGTAATATTAAAAAAAGTGGCATGCTTTCTCTCTTGTGTTGTACACTGCAAGGCCCAAAGGGGGTTCTATAACCAAGTCATTATCGCAACGGCACAAGGATTGATAATTATTTGTCAAATAGCGTAGAGTGCAGTTACAGTTTTCTTTATTTTGTAAAAAAGCCAAAGAAAGCGACTTACTTGGAATTAGTCACAAGTCAGTCGTTAATCTCAATTTAACCAGGCCTGAATTTGGCCAGTGTACCCAAGCTTAGTAAAACTCTCATGCCCGCCATCTCAAATCGCATCACGCGGCTTTGATTAAACAATAACGCACGCCTCAAAACATCACGCGATTAGGTTATCAATCTCAGCGTGTCCTCACAAGGGTTTAACTTTACCGGCTCAGTCTGTGGGACGACGTGCAAGCGAGCAGTCACAGACGTGCGTGTGTGTACGTAGGTGTGTGTGCGCGTGTGTGCTTGCAAATAGGTGGGGAGCAGTAGCGTAGCGGCTAGCTCACTGCGCTACAAACCCGGCTACCCGATTTAAATTCCAACTCACGGCCTCATCTGAGCCGGTCCTGGGCCTCAAATGAGAACCTGGTGCGGTGTGTAAACATCACCACTGGAGACAAAGGCGACCGGGCGTGGTGCTGGCCACTGACCCCCTCGTGTGTCGTTCCGGCCTTCGTAGATCCTCACCAACAGCACTTGCCCCAATAGTCTGTTAAGGCTAAACGGGGGATCTTTGTATTTGCTTGCGAATGAGGATACCTATACGCGGCCCCTTTAGAAGGGCCGTTCAGCTTTTAATAGCAACAGTGCAATGCTAAGAATAATGATGCTAAGAATAATGATTCTCAGTGATGCGAAGCGGATATGCAAATTGAACTTGGCCAATGAGACGTCTTATGAATTCTAATTCCCAAAGCAAAGGCATGACTGTACAGTAGTTTACATTTATATATTTTCAATTCAATTAATGGTCTCTTATTGAATCCAGCGACAGCTAAATATGAACCATTGCCTCTGTTACAAGGCCGACCTTCGTAAGGTATATGGGAATAATTATTTTGTCTATTTTTTATTCATTTGGGGAGGAATATTTTCTCGGGGATTTTGGCTGTGACATCGAAACAGTTGTCCTCACAGGAGTCTTACATTTTCAGATTAAACCAGACAGCAAGGCTTTTGGGAATGCCGCTCAATGAAAATTGCAATAAAAGCGTGATTTTGCCCAAAATTTAGACGTCAACTGGGCGCATGTCATCCAGCCGCCCCTACGTGCTAGAGCAGCGTGCCTGTGTGTTTTTGTGTCCCATCATACGACATATTGCCAACACGCACTCCTCGCATAACGACTGCTCGACACATCGGTAAGAGCCGCGTGCACAAAGGCCCGAGCGCGCACGAAGCGAATAAAGCGACGGTCATTTAAAAACAGAATAACAATAACACCGCGGAGACCTTCCATGAGCAAACGAACCAACGAGCAGCCCGGCCACGGAATTATAATTGCACCCGCCCTCCCCTGAAGGCAGTCGCATTGATTTGAGCATTAGCACAATTACACACCGTTGAGTAGTAATGGCGGCGAAAATAACTCGGCAGCGTCCCGCGAGCCAAATGGGAAGTGTCGCGTGGCACCTTCCCGTCGATTTGTCGTCGTTCCGCACCGGTTGGGCAAATTCAAATTGCGAGCGCGTCCGATTGGAATGGAGGGGCAATGCAAGCAATGCGTGCGCTCTGCCAAATCTAAATAGGGTGCCATTCGGATCTCAACGGTCGGCCGAATTGTCACAGACACATATACGTGAAGAAAGATCAGATGAAAGAGTATTACAAGCATTTGCACTTTGTTTTAAAACAGAACATTTTTTCGTTGCTACAAAGTATTTGTTATATTTCTCTCGCACTGGTAAAAAAAAAAATACTCAATAGCAGGCCAACATCTGAAATCACGAACTCACGGTTGAGAGCTCCCTCTGCTTTACCGAATGAGCTGTAATCTGCCCACATTTACATTCTATCAAAAAAATACTTTGCTTTTAAGTGGGATATGACCAGTGTGTTGTTTCATTATCCACCAAAGGTGCATGGACGGTAGCAGTAAAAACAACACGTGTATCAACAATGCCCTCTTAATAACGCCGAACCCATAATGGGTTAAATGGAACTCTGAACTAACAGCACTGGATGCCCACAATGGCGTCAACCCCTGGCCACCAGCAACCTACGTTCCCACCCAAAGCACTCAGGCTTGCCATGGCAGTAATGCACTGTCCATCAGGCACTTACATCTCATGGCTTTATTTGTTGGAAAGCGCATTCTCTTCCCTTATTTTCACTACAAAATCAACCGTCTCAGTCATTGGATTTCATAGACCGTGTGAGTAATTGCGCATTTCAAGAAAAGCACAACCCCGGAATGCCGTGTGTGTGCGTGTGCATGCGTGCTGGGCAGCTGGCCCACACCCACTGTACAGCAACGCCTTTCATTGGCTCGTGGGTCCCAGGCAATCTCCAGCATGCAGCGTGTGGTTGGGTCCCCAAATATATACCTTGGGAAGCCCTCCCTCCCACTCACTCACTCTGCAAATCCCACACCCCACCACCGCTGCCCCACACCCAGTGCCCAACCCATTGGGGCTACCCCTCCCTACCACATGCCACGAAACAGCTGCCTGGTACAGAACAAAGGAGGACAACCCTTCGTTCCCAACCCACACATCTCCCCCCCCAACAAGACTGGACTCAACACTGATCCCACTCGTAGCTTACCCACACCACCACACAATGCAGCAGCAGCAGCAGCAGCAGCAAAATGCCAGTGTGGCGCCCTTACCTGGTTGTCAGACAGGCTCTCCAGAGCTTGCATCACCGACTGCTCCGGCCTTGCCGACTGCGACTGCAAAGAACAATTGCAATACACGTGTTAATTAAACACAGACAGTACCGAATCACACATATATATTCCAAGCCGATGTTCGTGATCGTATCCTATTGGCAGTCCCAAGCAAATATTAGACATTTCAATTATGGGAGACGGTACACCAAAGGATAACCACTGTCGACTTCCTACAAAGTGGTACCCACTTTATACTGCATGAATGATCTGCTTAGTCAACACATTTGTGGATCTCAAAGCTGTGCCCTCCTGAAAATGAGGCTTGACCCTCGATGAGGCTTTCGTGTCTAGACATTAAAGTATGCAAAAACAGTACTAGACCAACATGCACAGCCCCCCCGTACAAACAGGACTTATATGAGGATCTGAGTCTGCGTTTTTCATTGTATGGCCTTAGATTTGCTTCAAAAGCACCGGGAATTGGCTTTGAAACTAACAGTCTTTTGTAACAAGATCCAGGCTTAAATGTTACACAAACAGCTTTCCTCTGACTCAGAGGGTACCATATAAGCCGATCACATGACAGCGTTTTCCACGGCTGTGATTGTATTTTACTGTTTAAATGTTAGCACATATTGTTCAATTGGCGATGACTATCACGTTGCGATAACGCATACTACGCTTTCTCTGATACATGCCGCGTATAGCCAGTCACGACCGACTCCGTGACTGATGCCAATTCAATTCATGTTCGAGAAGGGTTCGAAGGCTGAAAAACACTTGGCACGGATATAGTTGAGCTTTAAAAAATATAACCCATCAAAAACGTGTGCGCATGCATTTACAAAATATACACTTGCAAGGTATGGAATACATCTGTATTTATGAAATCATGTGAACAATACAATATAATTTGAATTCATACGGCATCTGAATGTAAGTGCATGTGAAGCCGCAGTAGAGAAAGAGTGGGCAAATGAGCTTTACAGAGGCTGTCAGAGGCTGAGAAAACAAAGGAACGTCCACAAGACTAGACTTTAAACAGGGGGCAGAGTCGACAGCATTGATGGCTGTGGGAAGGAAGTTCTAGAGAACGGCGGAAGCAGAAGAGAATGAGCAATGTGTGTGTGTGTGTTCAACTGTTTAAACTGTTAAACTATTTATTTTTACTTCACTAAGGCCAGCTGAGCTGTATAGCTCTTTTTTCAGAAGCGAATTGGCCAAAAATGAAAGCTCAATGCAGTGGCTTATCACGTGGGAACTTACAGGAGTCAAATGCTCTAAACGTGTGTTCCTAAATGCTGAGAGAAAACCCGGAGGACCCGAAAAAAAATCAACACAACCGTGAGGAGAGATTACATGCAAACTCTTAGTTTTTTCGGTAAAGTCACGTAGGTAAAAAATTGAATAAAAATTAATAAAAAATAAAATAATAATTTTTAAAAATCACGACGTTTCGGAGGCAACACAAGGCTCCATCATCAGGTGGGACCGTCACAGCCAGATTTGCTGTAGCTACGTGACTTTACCGAAAAAACTAAGAGTATGAATCCTTGCAGTCACGAAAGCTTCAAATCTAGAATTACATGCAAACCCCAAATATACAGGCGTCAGGGTCGGGATCTAACCCACGACCTCATTTCTACCAGGCGAGGTAGTTCACATCTCAATCTTAATTTTGGAGCTTTCGTGACTGCAGGAATTATTCTTTGGTTCTTTCGGTAAAGTCACGTATAAAGATAAAATAATAAATTAAATAATAGCATACGACGTTTCGATTGCAACACAAGCAATCATCATCAGGTATTTCATTATTTCATTATACCTGATGATGATTGCTTGTGTTGCAATGGAAACGTCGTATGCTATTATTTAATTTATTATTTTATCATTATACGTGACTTTACCGAAAGAACCAAAGAATAGTTCACATCTCGCCACCCCGGCGTCCTTCTTTGCAGATAACCCGAGTGTGTGTTCTTTGCGGGTGTGTTGTGCGTTGCAATTCACAAACATACCACGAGTCCCGTCTCCACCGTTGGCACCAATGTAAGCTTGCTTCCGTTGGACACAGCATAATCACGCAACTTGCCCGTTCTCAGGTGCCTGCAGAGACAACAGAAGAGACACACATAAGTCCATGTGCAACACTTACCACGCAACAACACGGGCTTAAACGCACGCGCCAAAAACATTGGCTCACAAATATACTGCAACACACTCACGTGGACACAAAGGCAATCTCACACGACGTCAGTTCTCCAGCATTACGTTCAAACTGATTGCGACAGCTTGAGGAGTCTTTCGTGGAGCGGCGGATTGATCACGGGCTGGTGATGATGACAAACGCCGATAAAATAACAGACGTTCATCTTTGTTGTCTGCGTGGCTATTATTCAGCAAGACAAATTATGAAAGCAAAGAGAGAAAAAAATGTTGGGGAAGGGGGTGGTGGTGGTACACGTGCTGTTTTCATTTGTGAAGTTTCATAAAACCATTAGCTTTTCATTTCACAACTGGCGAGGCAGCGGCAGTGTACACTGGCTTTTGTGAGTTAAAATAAGCAATTCGCGGTGCTGTGCTCATGGCACAATGGGGCATTGCATGTGCAGTCAATTTTGTGTCTTTACAACACAGGTGCTCTTCCTTCAAAGGGGGTTTCACAATGGTGGCTGATTGTACCGTAGTCTCCTCCTGTCTCTGATGACGGGGCAGACTGCAGGTCTCATGACAGATCCTCAACAAAAGAATGAATGACAAAGCTCACCCCCAGCCCACCCTCCTCCCCGCACAGACACAACGTATGCTACCGCAATTACGACTGTGGCTCATAACGTCTTCGGATTATGTACAAGGACAAATATCCCCCATACAGCATTAACAGACTGTTTGGGGAAATGCTGCTGTTAGCGGGCAACCTATTTTAAGGCCGGTACGGCACATGAGGGGGTGGGTGGCCAGAACCACACAAAGATCATCCAGTATATGCCCGAACAGACATTTGGGGCAAGTGTTGTTAGCGGTTACCGAGCACCTATGAAGGCCGGCACAGCACACACGGGGGTAGGGGGGAAGAGTGATTAGCCCCCACGCCCGGCCGCCTTTGTCTCCCCAGTGGCGATATTTACACACCACACCAGGGTAACTCATTTGAGGCTGATTCGACCCTGGGGGAGGCCCAGGACCGATTCAGATAATCGTCACTGGTGCTGCTGGTGGCAGTGTGCGGGAATCGAACTCGGGTCCCTGGGTTCATAGCGCAGCGCGATAACCGGATACACTCTAGACTCCTTTGTGACACACACACACACCGCATGGGTTACACGTGACAGAGCCACACTGCGATGACACGTTACCGGCTAACAAAGCACGCGAATTCGATATAGAGAAAAGCAGTTTCCCCCATGCAGCAACACCAGCGTGTAGCAGTCGCAGTTACACGGCAATCCGATCTCGCAAAAAATAGCACGCTATTTATATAGACGGGGCTGTTGCACTGCCGACTAAGTCGATAACACGCAAGCCTCTCCTCCCCCTTATTAGGTCGATAAGCAGTGCCCGGTAGTAATGCGACAGCGAACCTGAGCAAGGCGAATTGTGTTATCATCTTTACCTCTTTTGTTCATGAAAGCTGCAGCGGGCAACCCAACATAGCATCAACACATCAGCTGTGACAATAACACGTGGTATGTAGCACGCGGCCTCGGTGCGATATATTAAGACCGCAGTATAGGTCTACACAGCAACGTATGTTTTGGTAATAGGATCGTATAGGCTGTACGAGGTATGGTATAGTATCGCGTGGAGTATAGACTATATCAGGATATTTATTTATACTGGATGAATCCGATGAGCTATAAAGTTGTTTGTTCACAGATGTCCAGTAAGGGGGTAGGGTGTTATAAAAGAATAGCCTGTGTAGGGTACAGCATAACAATCTCTGTGGGATATAGCATGCAGTGTAGCCTATATAGGGAATAGCAGAGCATACATCTGTACATGGTATGATATACAGTATATGTAGAATATAACACTGAATTGTTTGTTGAATAGCCTAAATAGGATACAGTATTCTTAAGTGTATAAGATGGTGTGGTATAGCACACATAAGGTACAGGATAGAATAGATGATATAAAACGTAGCCTTTCGAGTGAACGCTATAGATGAAAGTCTATGCTATTCCGTATCGCGTACAATAGTTGAGTACATAGCCTCTGGTCCATGTGTGTGTTTGGTTTAGGTCACGTGGTAGTATTATTCCAACGTTACTGTCGTGAACCCTCCACCACCCGACACGACTGTCCCGTTTCACACAAAACATCATTATTCACAGGTGGCCAAAGTGTGTCGATTACATTCCGGCTTCGGATTTCTCACCACCGAGTTCAACATCAAGGTGGGGCGGCGACGTTTCGCGTCAAGACCTCCCCGAGCGTCATCAGATGACGAACTCGGGAAATTCAGTACCTCCAGTTTCAAGTTAACATAGCCTCTGTATTGAAGTCCGTCTAGTGGAGACTATAGAGCCTGGTACATAGCATAGCCTACACATGGCATAGTATTATACATCATAGTCAAGAGACTTATGCAATACAAAAGTGTACAAGCACATTCCATACATCGAGTGTATCCTGGATAGAGTATAACCTAGACAGCATAACCTTGTAGGGTGAAGAGTGTAGCGCAGCCTTGTAGGGAAAAGCGTGGGGCTTAGTGTCTCTTGCACAGATAGTGCAGTGGTTGGTGACACAAAGGCAGGACCAGTCAGTCTGCAGTCGAATACGGGACAGGAGTCACAACGCAGCCTGTGTGTAGATCGCTATATGATGCATAGCATGAACTGCACAAAGGAAACTGCATATTAGACCCGTGTATTATGTAAGACGCGCTTGTAAGATAATAACTGTCTTGCATGGTTCCGTTCGGTAAAGGTTCAAGATGTGTATACTGGGCAGGATAAAAATGCTTCTCTATAGGGCGTAAAGACTATAATAGTTCAGTCAATAGTAGTCTGTATGACCACAATAGGCGTTACGTCAGCTTGAAAGAGGTAATAGCGCGCTATATATTACAGTATTTGATGGATATAATTGACAGCCCTGTGTCGTTTCCTGCATAATGAAGGCTTCCCCACGCAGTCGGGAATGGGTGGGGGGTGTTTGACCATACTTCAACATGCTGGTCAGTGCAAGCTTGAGGGGGGGAGGGGGGAGATCAGATGTCTATAGCTCGTCTCTGATGTTAGCAATGGCCCGGAATCTAACTCACATTTGCCGGGTTCCATACCGTTCCCACCACACCGTAACATCAGCATTGAGGTTTTTTTTAAACATAGTTTTCTTGTTATCGTTCCGATCATAACTTGAGATGCAAACGCAACGCAGTGATGTGAACACAATTAAAACCGTATACAAAATGCAAATTAGCTTTTATTTATTTTAGGGTGCATGAGCTGACCCATTTAATTGACATGACTCAAAGCGCTTGTCGGACACCGCCTCACTGCCATCTGCGAGTCGCGAAGCAACACGGCGCTCAGAACAGACAGCTTTCAATAGGCGAATAAGATAGTGTGTGTGGGGGTTGCATGAGATGTATCCAGCAACAACAGCCCACAATTACCATATACCTTGGTTATCATGTACGACTCCCCTTCGCATGCTATGCTACTGATGGCAAAGAACAGCACCGCCTACGCGAACACTGTGATCCTTATTAAGCATCACCACATACCGAATACACTGCGCGCTGCAGCGTGCACAATACTTTAATATATGAGCTCTCCAATACATATATATTTAACAACTAAATCTGTACTGTTGCGTGTACAGCCCTGTGCATTTGGCAGTGTTCTCGCATGCAGTTTATCATTCTCAATCTACCGTTGGCTGAAGCCTCCCCCCTACGTCTTGTTGGTCAATGGGGGTTTTATGACCAACCACACGGACCAGTTACGTGGTTGATAACAATGTGTAACAAACAAATCATTGTTCCTGGGTAGTAAGTGTTAGTTCCTAATTGCGTATGCCTCAAAAGTACAGAAAATGGCTATTATTCCCCCACAAACTTTGCTTTTGTGACCAGGACAGTGATATTTTGAAATGTACCTATTTTCAATGATAAAAAACGTAGTGTGCATTTTTGTCATTCCTTCAGATAAAGTCCCGGTCACAAAAGCAACGTTTGTGGGGAATAATATCCATTGTCTATACATTTTAGGCATAAGCAATTTAAAAAAGAAATACACTTAGTACCCAGGAAGAAAAATTGTGTTACATAGTGGTATAAAGCAAGAGAGGGTAGGGGGGGGGTAGATATCACGAGCCACTCGGAAATTATTTATCGGGAATGATATCTCGGGATGGATATCTCGGGGTAGATATCTCGGGGGTAGATATCTGGGGGTTGAGCCGGGGGTGACAATTGACAGGGCGTAGAAACACAGCAGAGGTTCTGGACAGCAGAGGGCAGTGCTGAAAAATCCATTGTTTCAGTTTTTCAGTTTTCATTTATATGGTATAGCCCTGTGTGCCATTCGGCTCTTGAATGCGGGTGCAACCGCAACAAACAAAAAACCAAAAACATGAACAAGAAAACATCTTAAAGTGACTTTGCCCAAACAGAAAAATCCAGGAAAAAACTGCAAAGTCTTCCAGAAAAAAAGGCACCGTACACCAACGCTGTGTGCACTCCCTTGTGCACATTCAACCCAGAGTGGTGAAGTATGGTCAAACAAGCCCCCCCCCCCCCCCCCACTGCCACGCAAGGGGGTGCGGGGAGGTCATCATCCAGCCAACAAAGACAAAGATCCCCCCAACCCCCGTGTAGGCATTACAGACTATAGGGGCAAGTGCAGTTAGCGAGTAGTATCGCACCTATTAAGGCCGGCACGGCACACGAGAGGGAGTGGGTGGCCAGGCAATAATGCTTATATATACACACACACACACAGTGCTATCATATTGTAACAGCGTTGTGCACTAGAATCAGTCGTGGTTGTATAGTTTAAAGTTTAAACTACCGTGCTACAAAACAAAGTTATGACAATATCAACGCATAGATTTAGCTCACGGGCAAAGTCATATATGGGATCACCCTTGGTATACCCACAGAATATTCGCTGTTTTAAATACACACGCTCGCTCACATACACCACGTTATAGCTTCACGCATACAATAATACACAACACAGCATTATGTAACAAGGCCACATAGCCATAGATTTATACTATTAATCTGTAAGGCGGTGTGTGGTTTCACAACCACGCTCTAGGAGTGCGACTGTGGATTGGAGGGGCTCCAATGTCTGTGGGGTTCGCAACTTATACTACATAGCACCTACGGTAACACCGATGAGTATGACACAGTGAATAGCATGTGTCCTATATATAGCTCCTGTGATGTAGTCTGCGTATATAGGTAGTCCTCGACTTACGATGGAGATGCGTTACGACGACCCCATCGTAAGTCGAAAATGTCGTAAGTCGAAAATGTCGTAAGTCGAATATGGCCTCGCCTACCCAGGAGTCTTAAAGAATGGTGATAATTTAGCAAAAACAGAGCAATTTATCGTGGTAACCTTAAAATGAAATCGTATCGTAACGTATCATATTGTACTGTACCCACCAAGATTCTGTCCGTCGTCTGCATACTTGATCGTAAGATCGAAATATCGTAAGTCGGGCCATCGTAACTCGGGGACTAGCATCGTAACGCGGGTACTGCCGACGTAACTCGGGGACTATCATCGTAACTCGGGGAATATCCTCGTAACTCGGGGACTATCCTCGTAACTCAGAGACTATCCTCGTAACTCAGAGACTACTTGTATTAACATCCCTATGTAGAAGAGGGCGTCCGTAAACCTGCCGCATACAAAGTCTATACACACACACGCTTTATAAATTATCGTGCAGGGTGATGTATAATTATATATTGTACACACGTCTCCAAATTGTACGGTACAAGCCTACGTGGTACACACGAGTTAATATAATCACGCGTGAAAGTAAAGTGTGGTTGGTGGTGGGTGAGGCTTGTGTATACTCTAGTGCAGTCTGTGTGTGGGTTAGCACGGTGGACATACACAAGTGTGGTGGCGTTAATGTGCTGCCTTGTAACAAGTCGGAGTGATGCAAGGCTGTCCCGCTGTGATGTCTCCACTCGTGTCTGTGTAGTCGTGTCCCACGTATTAGTGTCTCTGTCCCCGTGTGAGTGTCTCTGTCCCCGTGTCTCTGTCTGTGCCCGTGTGTGTGTCTCTGTCCCCGTGTCACTGTCCCCCGTGTGTCTCTGTCTCCGTGTGAGTGTCTCTGTGCCTGTGTCTCTGTCTCTGTCCCCCCCGTGTCTCTGTCTCTGTGTGAGTGTCTCTGTCCCCGTGTCTCTGTCTCTGTGTGTGTGTCTGTCCCCGTGTCTGTCTCTGTCCCCCCCGTGTCTCTGTCTCTGTGTGAGTATCTCTGTCCCCGTGTCTCTGTCTCTGTGTGTGTGTCTGTCACCGTGTCTGTCTCTGTCCCCCGTGTGTCTCTGTCTCTGTGTGTGTGTCTCTGTCCCCGTGTCTCTGTCCCCCGTGTGTCTGTGTGAGTGTCCCTGTCCCCCGTGTCTCTGTTCCCGTGTCTATGTCTCTGTCCCCGTGTGTCTCTGTCCCCGTGTCTCTCTCTGTCCCCCGTGTGTCTCTGTCCCCGTGTCTGTCCCCCGTGTGTCTCTGTCCCCCGTGTGTCTCTGTCTCTGTCCCCGTGTGAGTGTCTCTGTGGGTGTCTCTGTCTCCCTGTCTCTGTCCCCCATGTGTGTGTGTGTCTCTGTCCCCGTGTGTCTCTGTCTCTGTGTGTGTCTCTGTCCCCGTGTGTGTGTGTCTCTGTCCCCGTGTGTGTGTGTCTCTGTCCCCGTGTGTCTCTGTCTCTGTCCCCGTGTGTCTCTGTCTCTGTCCCCGTGTGTCTCTGTCTCTGTCCCCGTGTGTCTCTGTCCCCGTGTGTCTCTGTCTCTGTCCCCGTGTGTCTCTGTCCCCGTGTGTCTCTGTCCCCGTGTGTCTCTGTCCCCGTGTGTCTCTGTCCCCGTGTGTCTCTGTCCCCGTGTGTCTCTGTCCCCGTGTGTCTCTGTCCCCGTGTGTCTCTGTCTGTCCCCGTGTGTCTCTGTCTCTGTCCCCCATGTGTGTGTGTCTCTGTCCCCCATGTGTGGTGTGTCTCTGTCCCCGTGTGTCTCTGTCTCTGTCCCCGTGTGTCTCTGTCTCTGTCCCCGTGTGTCTCTGTCTCTGTCCCCGTGTGTCTCTGTCCCCGTGTGTCTCTGTCTCTGTCCCCCATGTGTGTGTCTCTGTCCTCGTGTGTCTCTGTCTCTGTCCCCGTGTGTCTCTGTCTCTGTCCCCGTGTGTCTCTGTCTCTGTCCCCGTGTGTCTCTGTCTCTGTCCCCGTGTGTCTCTGTCCCCGTGTGTCTCTGTCTCTGTCCCCGTGTGTCTCTGTCTCTGTCCCCGTGTGTCTCTGTCTCTGTCCCCGTGTGTGTGTGTCTCTGTCCCCGTGTGTCTCTGTCCCGTGTGTCTCTGTCTCCCGTGTGTCTCTGTCTCTGCGCTCCACTCACGTCTCTCTGTGCAGCAGCGTGAGTCTGTCCCGGGACACCTTGAGACGGCGCGACAGCTGCAGCTTGAGGCCGTCCACCGTCTCGTCGGCAGAGACGGTCACCTCGAACTCGGAGCCCGTGGTGGAGCGGATACACACGGCGATGGGCGACGACACCTCGCCAAGGTCATAGCTACTGCTGCTGTTGCTGCTGCTGCCCGGTTCCATCTGTGCTGCTGTTCTTGCTGCTGCTGTTCTTGCTGCTGTTGTTGTTGCTGCTGCTGCTACTCGGTAGTTTTGAGCTTTTTACTCGGTCACCGTCGCCGGTTTCACTCTCCTCGCTCGCTAAAGCTCTCGATATTAGATCGATATTAGATCGATATTATTAGATCGATATTAGCCCCCCCAACCCCACCACCTTCTTCTTCTTCTCCTCTCCCTATCTGGGGAGGGGGGTGCTTTCCGTCGCCTCTCGTTCGCCTTTCTCCGCTTGGCTGTGGTGGAGGAGGCTGTGGTGGTGGAGGTGGTGGTGGTGGTGGAGGTGGAGGGGGGTGGTGGAGGTGGTGGAGGGTCCGCGTCTGGCTGGCGCCTTTGCTCGGCTCGGCTTGAATGGGGCTGCTGAGCACGGATGAGGTGGGGACGGCGAGATGGAGCCACGGGGAAGGCGGAGGAAGAGGAGGAAGGGCTTTGGTTGGGGGAGGGGGGTGCCTGCTACTACTACTGATGCTGCTGCTGCTTTAGGGGTAGGGTTAGGATGAGTGGGTGGGACGTGCTGATGCTGATGATGATGCTGGTTGCAGCAACAGCAGCAGCGCTTGATGGTGCAGTTATAAAACGAAGGCAGCAGCGTTCTCTCTCTCTGTCTCTCTCTTCGTCAGTCAGTCAGTCACCCCAAGCACTTGCGAGAGAGAGATAAAGTTACACGGGAAGGGCTTTCTTCGCTCTCTGTTCGCCGGTGGGCCAAGTGTCTGGTCCGTGCAGTCCGTGCCGTGCCTTGCTGGCCCCTTGCCGCTACACGAACGCACCACGTGTGTGTGTGTGGATGATGATGGTGATGGTGGTTTCGGGACGGAGGATCACTTTGTTTCAACTTTATGGCAAATTGTATTGAGCAGCAGCAGCAGCCGGTGGCTTTTTAGAAGAGCAACAGCTCGGCAATTAAACCCGAGTACAAAGCGGATCACTCGAACGCATTCTATCGTGCGCTCACTACACAGAGCTGTCAAATCAGACGCGCACGTGGCTGTCTGTCTGCACGTGTCTCCTCGTGTCTCCTGGGTGGCTGTCTTCCTACCCGGACAGTATATGCGTCCGCTTGTCTATGTATATGTGGCTGTATCTATGCCTGCTTCCCTGTGTATTCGTCCGCAAGTCTGTGTAAATGCCTGCTTCTATTTGTACCGGTGTTACGTGTGTCTCTGTTTATACCCGCCTCTGTCTGCCACTCACCATCCCTGTCTCTCCCCCCGTCCGCGTGTCTCCCCGTCTGTGTGTGTGTCTCCGCGTGTCTCCGTCCCTGTGTCTCCCTGTGTGTGTTTCCCCGTCCCTGTGTCTGTGTGTCTGTCTCCGCGTCCCTGTGTGTCTGTGTGTCTCCCTGTGTCTGTGTGTCTCCGCGTATCTGTGTGTGTCTGTCTCCGCGTGTGTGTGTCTGTCTCCCTGTGTGTCTCCGCGTGTCTGTGTGTCTCCCCGTCCCTGTGTGTGTCTGTGTGTCTCCCTGTGTCTGTGTGTCTCCCTGTGTCTGTGTGTCTCCGCGTGTCTGTGTGTGTCTGTCTCCGCGTGTCTGTGTGTCTCCCCGTCTGTGTGTGTGTCTGTGTGTCTCCCTGTGTCTGTGTGTCTCCCTGTGTCTGTCTGTCTCCGCGTGTCTGCGCAGCCCGGGCTGAGTTGCTCGCAGCCTCTCGCGTGAAGTCTCAAACAATGGAGCCCCCCCCTACACCCCCCACTAGCCCCCTCCCCCACCCCCCTAGCCCCCTCCCCCACCCCCCTAGCCCCCTCCCCAACCCCGCTTGCCCCACCCCCCTTGCCCCCTCCCCCACCCCCCTAGCCCCCTCCCCCACCCCCCTAGCCCCCTCCCCCACCCCCCTAGCCCCCTCCCCCACCCCCCTAGCCCCCTCCCCCACCCCGCTTGCCCCACCCCCCTTGCCCCCTCCCCCACGAGTGTGAGAATGAACACGACGCGGTGACGTCATCACCCGCCTTAAAGAATGAATGCGAACGCGGTGACGTCACGCGGGCTAAACCTTCGAAAGCCGGCGCGCGCCAACTCAGCAAGTTTATCGGCGTGTGCTCGATGACGTCATCACGCACGCGGCCGAGAGATCGGCCGGTTCGTGACAAGATGACGTCACCACGCACGCACCGACAAACCGGCCGGTTCGTGGCAACATGACGTCACCACGCACGCACCGAGAGACCGGCCGGTTCGTGGCAACATGACGTCACCACGCACGCACCGACAGACCGGCCGGTTCGTGGCAAGATGACGTCACCACGCACGCACCGACAGACCGGCCGGTTCGTGGCAAGATGACGTCACCACGCACGCACCGACAGACCGGCCGGTTCGTGGCAAGGTGACGTCACCACGCACGCACCGAGAGACCGGCCGGTTCGTGGCAACATGACGTCACCACGCACCGACAGACCGGCCGGTTCGCGGCAAGATGACGTCACCACGCACGCACCGAGAGACCGGCCGGTTCGTGGCAACATGACGTCACCACGCACCGACAGACCGGCCGATTCGTGGCAAGATGACGTCACCACGCACGCACCGAGAGACCGGCCGGTTCGTGGCAAGATGACGTCACTACGCACGCACCGACAGAACAGCCAGTTCGTGGCAACATGACGTCACCACGCACGCACCGACAGACCAGCCGGTTCGTGGTAACATGACGTCACCACGCACGCACCGAGAGACCGGCCGAGTCGCAACGTTGGTGGGCGCGCGCCGCCGCTTCCCGCCAAGTGACGTGATGACGTCCAGAGGCGGCACGTGATCAACGTCGCGTCTAAATTACCACGGGCGCGATGACGTCACGCGGTACGTGATGACGACACTTTGCGGTAGGAGTTTAGTGACGTTTCGAAGTGACGCGATGACGTCACGTAGCCGATCAATGATCGCGCCCTGGTATCAATCCACTGATCGATAACCCCCCCTCAATCCCATGGGGGTTACTAGTCGCTGAGAGTTGGTGATGACATAGACGTACAATACAACAATGGATGTTGCCGCACTGTGTCCACTGCTTGCCATAATGCAGTAGAATCTGTAGCTCGTAACACCTGTTAGGGGACGTCCATAAGTGACGTCACGCACCTAGGGGGGGGGGGGGGTCAGACATTTGTGACGATGTGTGACGAGGGAGGGGGGGGGTGAGAAATGTGACGTCACATCAAAATGCACAACTTTAAATAAATATAGACAACACGTTCCACTTAATTAAATAGACTTTTTTAATACATGTTTTCTCCTACAACATCAGAGTGCAGCGCCACATTAAACACGCACTACATTGACAATAGTTTAAAGCGATTTGAAACATGTTTTATTTTCAAAATAGAAATATAGTTTTGGGGGGGGGGCAGAGCTTTGTGACGTCATATTTGAGGGGGGGGGGTCTGACTTTTTGTGACGCCGTGTGACGATGGGGGGGGGGGGGTCAAAAATCGTCCAAAATCGCGTGACGTCATTTATGGACGGCCCTTTATGCATTGTGGTCGCACCATTATCACATTTAGTCCAAGTAGCAAAAACACCGAGGGACAGCTGCCAATAATTTTGGCAAGTGCCAATTATTTTGGCAATTGTGTATGATAAAACCATGTGCTGGTGTCACATGGTGTATGCAGTGTATAGTGAATACGCACTGCAGTAATTGGGATAATTTAATGTTACGTTAAGAAAAAATAACATTAAAAAAAAGTATGTACATTCTACGATTCAAGTGATTTAAAGCAGCAGATACAATCTTGCAGCTGGGATTTTCCATGGTGATTCAAATGAAATTTGCTAATTGAACGAAGGAACGCAGAGCCTTTGACCTTGTGTTAATGCAATAACCATTAAAAACTAATAAAAAAAAGTGAACATGTAAAAGTTTAACCTCTTAATCATGGTAAATTTATGAAATGGTCAAATGGAAGTGAACCACGAGTATGCGAGGAAGCGCTTTAGAGTTTAGACGACACACTGATGCCCACTACAGAGAACTTTAGGTACTTAAACACTAAGAGAACCATTCGCAGACGAATTGTCTGCTGAATTTGGACAATCTCTCCAAAAACGTTGCCAATTAGTTTAGATAGTGTTTCATATAGATTTGCGTCGACCTAGGGACCCACATCTGACAGAGAGGGCCTTTGCCAATACACATCTGGCAGTTCACAGGTATAAAAGACCCGACGCAGAAGCTACTCGATCTTGCACGGAGCATGCGGGACCATCCTAAACCGCAACCGCACAAACCATGGCAACAGATGATGGGGATACTGGATGGTGCACAAATAAAAAACATAAAAACTCTCCGGCAGTGTGCGACGACTGTGCTCACCCAGAACATGGAACATATGACGACCGGATGCCCAGTTCACAAATGCGAATGAGCCATCACAGCGATACACTCCTCTAATCCTAATGCAATTATCTGGCTCAACCACACCGGTGTAAACATTATAGTTGTTGCTCTACACCTGCATCAGCCATACGAAGAATACGGGTCAAGTAAGCTTGACTGCTGATGAGGCACTGAATGTTGAAACCGGTCCAGAGTTTGCTTTAGGTGAACCAATTATTTATCCTGACAGAAAGTGTTCACACTGTTTATAAGCAGGTGAGAGAACTGGGATGTTTACCCAGTTTTCAACTGAGTTTTTATTCTTTCGGTGTAGGAGAAAAGCAAAACTGCTGGAGAAAACCCACCTCCATCAGGATATAGCACTCATATATAGAGTTGGACCAGTCACCTACTTGCTATACTGCCCGTCTGTTGGTCAACCCATAGTTGCATGTCTCCTGGTGGGACAGCGATCACTGGACCACGAAGATATTTTCGTGTACATGTGTATGTGGCGTAGCTGTGAGCAATGCACATTTTTTTAAAAGGAACTTTCCATGGTTGTTCTTGTTGTTGCAATTAACTTTTAAGCATTCTGCTTGAACAGTATTTCTAGACTTTCTCACTTCTACTTGAGTCTCAACACTCTTTTTCAAAATTATATACTGGAGGAATCCGAAGAGCTATAAAGCTCTTTTTCATAGAAGTCCAGTCGGGGTTTGTCAGAACGTTACAACAACAAACAATCCAAAAATACGATAGGCGTGCAAAGTATAGGAAAGGTAAGTGAAAGTTTTATTTTACCAGGTAAAGCCCAATGAGCTATTAGCTTCTTTTTTTAGAATCGACCTGGCCACAAATGATAGCTCAACAAAGTGGCTTAAAAGGGCTCCACATTGGGACACTTGGCTCATGCCAGCAAGGAGTGACGTGTGGGTGGAAACCAGAGAACATCGACAGAACCCACCGGTTTTCAAAGGTGACAAACAGCACTGCTGTCTTCTGGCCACCTCATATCCCCATGCCATATAACACATGGCAAGCCCCAGTGGTCACGGTCCGAATACTAACCAGATATTGGAAAAATAATAAAATAATAATAAAACATAATAAAACAATTCTCACGACGTTTCGGCCACAATTACTTCCCTTCTACGTGACTTTACCGAAAGAACCAAGAAGATGAATCCCTGCAGTCACGAAAGCTTCAAATCGAAATTTCAGATATTGGAAGTAGTGTATATCTGCCGATTTAAGATCGTGTATATTCACGTTGATTTTTTTGTGGGCAGTTTATTTGTCAGTAATTATTGTTGTTTTTCAAATTTAAGTACACACAGTATTAGGTTTGAGGTTTCCGCAGCCTCCATTGAAATCTATTTTTTAACTCTTCGGGTATGACACACACACACGCGGCGCTTTTCAAATAACGTTTAAAATGTAATTCTAAGGACATCTTAGTTGGCCATCCATTGTGAGTATTCAGGTTCACGCTTACGTCATCCACCCAAGTGTCTCCTTTCTTCTCTGAGTGTTGGGGCAGTGCTCACCTCTGTTGGTAGCCCTGAGATAATGATGGAAAGTCGCATGTTCCTATGCTACTCCATAGGACAACCACTGTTGCTTTCCCACAAAAGTGGTGCTTCTAGTATCATAGACCCCAGAGGGAGAATGAGGTGATACATCGTTGAGTCATGGATATGTAGATATAGAGCACGCCTTGTCAATCCGCGACTGTATGAGCGCCTGCAAGGGTCTTGGGGATTATTTGACCACAGCTGACTGATGAGTCCAGGTTAGTGACGGCAGAGTGCACAGATATCGTTGCACGGTAAAGCACAGCGGTGGATTTTTGCCGAATTCTGTTTTGCTTTTGACGTACGGCAAAACGTGCAGGAGCTGAATGGCAATGTCGAGGTCTGCTCGCCACGAGAGGGTTTCATGAGAGAGTTCGTGTATCTTCTTGGTTCTTTCGGTAAAGTCACGTAGAAGGGAAATAATAAAGTAATACAAATTTAACATAATAAAATACAATGCTCACGACGTTTCGGCCACAACGCAAGCAGCCGTCCTCAGGTGAAGAACAGGTCTGTCGGGGAGACAGCGTCTGAATGGGCACCACCAAGCTTGGCAGTGTATATTTAAGCTGGGTTAGAGGAGGAAAGGCGCCTTGACAAAGGCATTTGCATATCAACAGATGAATTTTGCATATTTATGGAAAATGCAGATATGGGATTAGTCACTACTTGTGGAATGTGTAGGAGGTGGGGGGGGGAGGTCTCAAATTCATATTATGCTCGTGTATTATG